ATAAGAGATGTAATAAGAATTATTATATAAATGTTGAAATAAGATATTAAATATTGAAAAAGTTTTTTAAAATGTACAAGTTTCATCATTTTCCACTCAGTCCCTTTTATAATATTCAAACTCAAATCTAAAAAAAGGCAAGATTTTCAGGATTGAAATTTCATCAGCAAGTAGTACACTGATAGGGCTACATATGAAAAAAAATTATAGTTGAGACTCTTCATTACAGTTTTGCTGCGCTAAATGTCTCGTTTTATATTAATTTTAATTTTATAGTTGTCAATTTTGTTAACAACTTTCCTCACTACTTATGAAATATATTGTGAGGAAAAATCATTTAGAATAAAACATAATAATTTTATTTTTTGTTTTGCTTTGATATCTGCAAAAATGCCGCAGTTAGAGAAGGTAGTATACACTGATACTGACCCACACAAGACAGCCATATTTGATGCGCTATAACTAATGGCACCAGTTAAGTCTCATTGATCAAATTCGTATTAGACATTTCTATCATTAAGAGGTATACACTACACCAATTTCAAATGTAGAAAAGATACTATAAATTGTCTCAGTTTTCCTTTTCGCTTGATAACTACAAAATAACCAGAGCTACGGGCATTTTCCCAAAACATGTTTTCAGTCGAAAAGATAATCAAAATGGCCGTCGAGAAAAGACTGTGGCCCTCGAAAAATTTTAACTATAGTTTTGAACCCTCAAATAAATATGGAATAATTGGTAAAAAGAAATAGAAATAAAAAATGCCGAGCAACAAAATTAATTGAAATTAGATGATTCCAAATGGATTGACCCGTACTTGATTTTCATAGAGAATTTTTTTTTTCGGTCGATAGTTAAAATCTTTATAACTTCTCAGGATTTCTTCAAAATTTAACATTAGTGTAACCGTTCTAAAGCAGAATTGCTGCTCTCCAACTCTCCATCAACAAATATTATATTTTATTACTTTCACAACTATTATTTTTATATATTATCTTTGATTCTATGCACAAAATTCTTCAACCTATCAAATACCATAATTAAGTTTAATCCATTTTTCACCGAATGATAAAATATGGCTCTTAAGTAAGTAAACATTGAACGTGATAAAAAACACCATCTGTCCCAGTTGACGGTAAACCTTCTTCTTTTGTTTTTACTTTTGGGTCTGTATATGAGAAAAACTATGGCGAACTTATAAACATCGCCTAAATAAAGTTGTTTATCTATTGTCTGAATATCAATATCTTCAAAAAATTTATATAATTAACAGCCATGAAAATAGAAATCAATATGCACAATTTAGATATGTTTGATTAGAAAAGAATACAATTATTCGGCGCACTAGCGGATACAGAATTTAATTTTGGAGGGGCTTCAGCCCGAAACCTTTTTCATAAAAATAACGATAATTACTTTGGAAAAACAGAAAGAAACTAACTACCTATATGAAATGGTGTTTAAGTTATTCCTCAAGTACTTTAAAATGTAATTTCACGAACAATAATACTTTAAGAGGTATTTTAAAAAAAAAATTTCCCATAAAACATGGTTATATTTTTCCATTTTGGGGGGGAGGCTTCACCCCGAAAGCCTCCCTCCCCCGTAGATCCGCCCGTGATTCGGCGTGGGAGATGTAGCCAGTTGTTTGTTTTCTCTTTGACATTTGACTTCTTTTCTCATGGTCAAGTTAAATATAAATTTTTGAAAGGTCTAGAAGTTTGGAAAATTCAACTTTCAATTTAGAGATTTAATTTTCAATCTTGTATAGTTCAAAGTCTCAATCACTTCGTAATAGTTTTCTGAATCATAACTACATTGTTTATATATATATATATATACACACACACATATATATATAGAAATAGAAACAAAAAAAAAAGTTATTTTCTATATATATATATATATATATATATATATATATATATATATATATATATATATATACATATATATATATATGCGTGTGTAAACCACAGGCGGATGTACGGGAGAGGGAGGGCTTTCGGGCTGAAGCCTCTCCCTCTCCCCCCCCCAAAAAACGGTAAAATATAACTATGTTTTATATTTAAAAAATTAAAAACTATCTCTTAAAGTATTATTGTTCATGTAATTACATTTAATAGGAATTCAAGAATCACTTAAGCACCATTTAATATAGGTAGTTCATTTCTTTCTTTCTTTTTTTCAAATTAACTATCGTGATATATATATGAAAAAAAAACTTTCGGGCTGAAGCCCACCAAAATTAAATCCTAGATCCACTAGTAATACATACATACATATGCACTATACATTTATATATATATATATATATATATATATATATATATATATATATATAGAGATAGAGAGAGAGAGAGAGAGAGATAGTAATTTATTGTTCTACAATTCCAAGATAAAAATATCCATTTTTCTTATTCAGAAAATTAGCCTGTCTACGTTTAGAGTTCATGGATACAAATCTAAAATCTATAAGAAAAGAATTTATTTTGTTTTTTAAGGAAAACAAGGTCAAGATATACAATTATGATTATTTTTATTTTATTTATTAATTCTAAAGATGGTTACATTTTTTAGCGTTTTTTTATTTTTATACATTTGTTCTTTCCAAAACACTTTTGCATCCTGATTAAAATGCTCAATATTATAAAAAATTCCTCTTTTTTTATTTAAAAAAATAATAATAAACAAAATTAATTAAAAACCTTGGGCAAAAAATACTCAAATAACAATCAAAATACATTAATGAATTCGTATACTAATGTAAAAAAAAAATGAATTTAAGATCACAAATTACTATGCCCAAGTTAATTCAGAGTAAATTTAAATTTACTGGGATAATAATCTTACAACGATTGGGGATATTAAATGGTTATTTTTCAGCCATAAAATGTTATTTTCTAGGAATTTTGACAAATCCAATGAAGGTTTCTTTTCCGATTTTTTTTAGTTTAATGTTCATAATTAAAAGAAAACTAGAGTTAAATGTCTAAAAATACAACGCAATTCAATAATCCATTCATTACCTATTAACCTTTTACAATCAACCACTAAAGTCAGTTATTGCTTTAAAATTAATAGCACAATTACCATGCTGATTGAAACGTTTCTTTATACCAACCGCTTTCTATTCGTTGGGTTGCGTCAAATCATTACATCGGTTGGTAAACCGATAAATACGTTTGATTTCGGGCATAATTAGCTATGATGAATTGTGAAATATAGAAGTCAACATCCTAAAATTAACTTCAATCCCACTCAAAACCCACAATTTTTATAATAATGCTTCCTAATTGATTCCCATTACCATCCAAAGCTTCTGAATAGATGATCTCGGGATACTCTTAGTGGTTCCCAACCATTTTGTGGCAGCGCAACAATTAACGCGAATCCTTTCAAACATGGGTGGTGTTTAGATGGATGATCTAAGAAACACTGCTTTAACTTTTTGAAAAAGTTTAATAACTCAATGAATAATATTTATATTTTTGTCTCATACGTTAAATTGATTATGGTCAGATATTTAAACTTGATGAGGTACATATCTGCAATATTTGGCATATGTGGGAGAATGCTACTCTTAATTTATCTTCCTAATTCGGCAAATAATTATGATCTTTTATATGTTTATTTTTACAGCCAACATTGAAAATCCAGGCGCTCAAAGATATAAAGTTGAAAAGAGAAAAGCGCTAAGATTCTTTTTTGGAAAGAGTTGTATATTCCTCTGGAACACATATCCAAAAAATGTTCTCGTATATCTCTTTAAAATTTATTTTGTTATTCCTTTTGGATGGAAAAGAAAGTAAAATAACACATATTCATAAAATGTTCTCGTATATCTCTTTAAAATTTATTTTTGTATTTCTTGTGGATGGAAAAGAAAGTAAAATAACACATATCCAAAAAATGTTCTCGTATACCTCTTTAAAATTTATTTTTTTATTTCTTTTGGATGGAAAAGAAATTAAAATCTCCCATTTCTTTGCAGAAATAATTCGTTTTTGGGCATTTCGCCTTCAAAAAGTAGGATCGACGAAATACCATCAAATTCCTCCAGTATACAATCTTTACAATCCAACATCCTTCCAAGAATCCTTGAAGCTCCTTATTATGTTACGAATAAAATCATTCATGAAAACGAAATATTTCATGAAGCAGATTTAGGGCGAAATAGGTATTCATTTAAATATTCCATGATCAAACTGAGCCACTAGTTAGTAACCCGTCGTCTAAATCTTTATAGGATATACTTCCGAAGAGTCCGAAAAGAAGGTGGCTGGCTATAAGACGTCTTAGCATCAACTATAGTTGATTTCTTTGAAATAAACTGTTGGATGATGGTAATTTTTAGTACACTTGACGTTGCCTTGTTACTTTTGCGATGTCAATCAATAAATAAAAATTCATACCATGAAAGAAATGAGCCTATCAACTGTTAATCTTACCTACTTAATCTTAAATATTAAACTTAAATCTACTGTCCCCAATCTCTTCCGGTTTTCCGGTCGACTTTACAGTTTAAAAAGAAAATGACTCAGAGACCTCCTGATTCATTGATGCAAAACAATATTCATGACAACTAAAATAATGAGAATAGGGCAAATTGGGAAATTTTCGAACTTCCATCGCAGCAGCAGATTTATAATGAAAAATAAATAACAAGTATAAATTGAATATCTAACAGTAAAAAGTGAAAATGGTAAAAAAAAAAAAGGACAGATCTGAAAAAAAAAATTATGAACGATTTTCTTTCAATCTTAGTCATTTGATGCATTAAAAATGGTGTGGGCTAAAGTTACAGCACAAAAAAGGTCAAATGAGCAAGTTGGGACTAGCCATATATAACGACCGTAGGAACGTTTAAGAAATGCAGGAAAGGTTAAAGACGCCGAAAAGGATATTGTTCCGCTAAGCCAGCGTTAAGTGAGTGGACTGTGAGGAACGGTCCATCCCTACTCCTGGAGGGGACGTAGGTGGAACAGGTAGTAGATCGCCTTGGGCCACTGCCTTTCCAGGAAGAGAGAGTGCTGCTCGCTAGTTCAGTGTCTGTCTGTCGGTCTGTCCGCACGCAAGATGGGTGAGTCATGTTACAATAATAGTGAGCAAAATTGTGACAATAATCAGCAATCAATAATGTTAAATTCGCTATAACTCCAAAAACTTCTCACATATTCGGTCATTAAAGTCTCCTTACTTATGAGTGGGTGATATGACGTCATCGTTTCATTGACATTTTCTTGAATACTATTTACATTTAAAAAAATATATATTTTCTGTGCTAAATTTAAACTAAATGTAGGATCACTTTTCTAAAAATTAAAAAAAAAAATTAGTAAATAGCTTTTATTTTTAGATAAATCACACAATAAGGAAATTGGAAAACTATTGATATTTTCAAAAAAAATTAAACTGTTATGAAAAAATGTATTTTTATATATTTTAAAAATTGTATTCCATGACTCACATCTGTTTTTGTTTTCCTCCAATAGATAACACTATTTGATAAAGTCTTTTGTTATTCATGTCCCACCCTTTGGAACAAAATAGGAATTTGTACCTTCTTTAAATAGAAACATTTTCCAATACCTAAACACCTTTCAGAGCAACACTGATTAATTTTGATATTATTTCTTTTATGAAATTCACTAATTTTTTGTTGCTTTAGTATTTATTTTTACATATTTCGTATCCAATTTATATTTTTTTCATTACACACAAGAAATCTTGTATATATTTAATTTAAATCTACACTGTAATATGAAGTTTTTTATTTATTTGCTAATTTTAATTTTGATGATTTTTTCCTTTCTATTTCTTCATTATAATATTTCATTTTCATTTTAAAGTACTTTTCAATTTACTCATTTCATAATTTTTTTGTTTTGAAAAAGTTTAAGCTTAGTAAATATTTTATTTATCCTTTGAGCAAAGCTGACATTTTTTTCTTCTTAAAAATGATCCTAGTAATGAATGTATTGGTTCGATTGTTAAAATATTGTTGTCTAGCATTTCACAATTATAGTTGTATTATTTTTCTTAATCTTAATGTTAACTATTATACAATTTAATATTAATATTATATATTCATACAGTTTAAAATTGAAATTTTCCATAAGATTTTTCATTTTTAAAAAGTATAGCTCCATCCTGTGCAGTTTCAAGGTTGACTTAAGGATGACTTCAGCTCATGATGTTTCACTGACTTCACCACTATAAAAATACTATAACAGTCATTATGACCTAATGTATTATAAACTATAATATATTATAATGTAGATGTATTATAATATTAATAAAATTGTTGTTACTGTTTACAGATTACTTAAAGTATATTATCACACTCTGCATTCTGCTTTTTGTAAGTGTTCCTAAGTATTGGTATTTCACACATAAAAATTATCATTAAAAAGTGTTTACTGTAAAAAATTTATTATTTCAGATTCATGTAGAGGCAGACATGATGAGAAAGTCAATTGTGTTCGATAAGAAGACACCAGGAGTATTCTACTGCCCACAACACAAACCTTCAGGTGAATTTTATTGAATTAAGTCATGATGAAATTTTGCCTATCTAATAATTAAAAGGTCACTATATATCTCTTCTAGAATATGATGGTTAGAAAGCAGTAAGGATAAAATAAACTAGTTGGTGTTGAATATTTCATTGGTTTCAATGTGATTCCATATAATTTTTTTAAAAAAATAGAATTTGGTTTGTTTTATTTTATTTATACTCATTATTTTTTTAAATGATTAATTGTTCATTTTTTTCTAATAATAATAATAATAGATAGCTTGCTAGTAATAATAATAGATAGTTAACATCTCAATCCAATGGAAACTTAAATTTGTTAATTTTTGGATAACAAAAAGTTGTGATTTGTCACTTTCATGATTGAAACCAATGATTTAATGTTTTATTTTGAGCTCTTTTTACTGTCCCAACCATTATCTCCTTTTTTCAAATGATTTAAATGATCATGATATTTCAATAAGGTGGTATTATATAAGAAAGGCAAATAGTATCTCACCCTGATACTTTACATTTATAAAACTAAGTAAGTTATTATTTTTTTAAAAACAATATGACAATATATGGCTGGACTTAAATATAATAAAATAAAATCTTTTATTCTTAATTTTGATTAAAAAAAATAAGTTGAAATTATAATTTCTATTATTTTAATCATCTGAAAAACATTTTATCCCATTTCTCATACTGTTTTTAACACAATTGATTATTTTTTCAATGAGGGTCCATCACTAATGAACTATTATGTATTACTGATTAACTAGGAGAATACTTGTCCTTTAAAAATGGTTTCACTTAAGTCGAAAATTATTATTAGAAAAAAAATACTCTAAAATATAAGTTAATTGAATCAGTTGGACAAAATATTTTTATAAAACAATATATTTTAATTTTCTATTAAAAACATTCAATTTTTTTTACTGAAATGCGTCATAAAAGTAGTTTATATTAAAATAACTAATTTATATATTCTACATTTATGGTGAAAATTTAGAAACAGCTCTTTAGAATTAATGTGGAAGAGAAAATTTGTTGTTAGCATTATGTTGTATAGATACATTTTAAGGAAGGAAATTTTATTAGGATAAATATTCATACCAAAAGATTGACAAAATAATAAAAATAAATAGTTTCATTTTCTTTACTTAATAAATATAATATTTGAGATCCTTCCATTAATGGGTTCTATAAATCTAGCATTAAATTATCTATTAAAATCAAATGATTTCTGTACCTATGTGGGTGAAACTAAGATTTTATTGATTAAGTTAACATTGATTTTGAATAAACACAAGAAAATAAAGAATATACAACTATTTTTAAAGAAACAAAGAATAAATATAAATGAAAAATAATAAACAAGTCAAAACATCAAATATAATACATCTGAATTCAGCCTGTCTGCACAGTGGTAGCATTATTAACTATTTATTGCTAATAAATATGCTGTACCAATGTTTTTGTTATTAACATATTAATAAAAAAAATTTTAATTCTAGGAATCGATAAAATGATTGTTCGTGCGAGGCCGTTGAAGAAGCTTTGTGAGTTTGGAGGTAAACCAATACCTGATGATGTGAAACCAGATTGTTATAATCACATAGATGAATCAGATTATGCCTGCAAAGAGAAAAAAAGGATTATGGTAACGTATAAAATTAGCATTTAAGAAAATAAAGAAAAAAAGTTATAACTATAATTAACTGCTTAGTTAAAGGTAACAAATAATTTGTAGCCATAACATTACAGTTGAATCTCAATAATTCATATCTAATAGCTTAATAACATTAACTAAAAAATTTACTAGCCACAAAAACAAAATTAAAATTAAATAGATAATAGAAGAATATTCTGAATAAATCAATAAGATTTGGCCCAACTAATTATAAATTCTGAAATTAAAAACAGAGATATTAATTGACAGGAAATACTTTAGAAATAGATACAATAATACTTTCAAGTAATCTATATAAATATAGAAATATATTACAAGGAAATCCACTTATAAACAAATATTAATACAAAATTATAACTTCATTTGAGTGAATTAAAAATGTAACATAAATAATGTCAGGATTTACTGCTTATGTGTTTTAAAATTTTTTCCAGTACAGCGAATAATTGGGAGTCAACTGTAAATGATTAATAATTATATTAACCAATGTATCAAAATAACCAACTAAGTTTATCAAACTTAGTTTTGAAGGTATATTAACTACATATTAACCACATTTTACAGAAAAGAATTAAGGATCCAAAGGAAGAAATAGTACTGGAACCAGCCCATCAAATTTAGGTAGATCAAAAGATAAAAATCAAAACAGAAAGCAAATTCCTTTCTTCTGTGTTTTGTCTTCCTGACCTTTAACTATTCATGGTCTATCAGTCTAATAATTTCCACTTTCTGATTTAATTACTAAACGTATTAATATATTTTTTGTTTTGTTCTGAATAATGGAATGAAATTTTTTTGTTTTAACTTGCTTTTGCTTTCTTCTGTGTGCTTTTCTTGATTAGCTTTGAAAACTCAGGATCCAAGATATAACCATGTTTAAAATATTTCGCATGTCATCAGAATCGTTAAGTAAAAGAATCACCTTTAGTTCTTTGTTTGATCTTTCTTTTTATTTCTTGCTGCATACAAGAATCCACACTTATTAACTTAGTTTTATTAATTATTTCACCTCATCCAATCTTTGAAGAAACAATTTATATTTAACCTTTATTGAATGCAAACTGTTTGCCAGGCACTTTCAGAGTTTATCTGTTCAGCTTTTTTATTCTTGAAAATGAATATTTATGTATATTTTTCTATTTTCATTGATGTCTCTTTTCTCTTTTGTGACTGTATGCTAATTATAATTCTAGATGCAAGGCACTTCTTCTTAGGCATATTATACCACAATTAATCTTTATATCATAATAGTTGTGTATTAACAATAGCATTTAGAGTGGATGGTAATATAAATATGCCTCTGTCTGTAGATGAGACTTCATCCACCAGGAACTGAAGATATCAAAACAAACGATAATCGCAAATGGGACAGGATTCAACCAATAAATAAGAACAAAAGGAGAGTCAAAACTCGCAAGCAAAAGTTCAATAAGGAGTACCAGTAAAATTTATAATCATCCGGAATTAAGAAATACATTTAACAAGTTTGTAAACTAAATTATATGCAGCATCACTGAAACAGGAGTGGCTGTAAGTTTTTTATTAGGTAATTAACTAAATCACCGTAAAAAATATATATATATATATTAAAAATATTGAGGCTGTGAACTCAAATTAGAGAAAATCTAGTGCCACATTTCATTTTATGCAAAATAACAATTGTACATTTGATGTTTATCATGAGAAGCTCTACTTGTACAATGACAAAGTATTTGCTTGTTTTTGTATAACTGGATCTTCATATTTCTCGATTTTCGTGTAAAACAGTTATTATATCTAAATTCTTTAAAATTAATAAACTATTTATTAATATTTTGTATTTATTTGCATTCTCACACCATTTCCTAAATTTGGATGAATCACATTAATGTTATGATGCAACTGGTTGTGTTTCCAAAATTAATAAAACAATAGTGAACTGAATAACAATTTATCAATATTACATAGCTGTCTTATGTCTTATGCTTCCACAAAAAGTGACCTTCAAGCATTGGGTTCAACTTTGCTATCGCATAAATCCTATACTCAATTCTTTTTAAATAAATGTCTCAAACTCTTTAATATAAGAGCAATGGTTAGGATTCCCAGAAAACACAAAAGGTATTTTATATTATTATAATATGATATTATTAATTCAGAAATAATAAAAAATTCTCGATAATATCATGGTATAAAATTTAATACTGATTGCAGTGCGTTACATTTTTTATTCAGAAAAATATATTCCTGCATGAAAGTCCAAAGAGAATTATTTAAAATTAACACTGTTTGATAATCAGTTTTACTTGGAGTATTCTCTCAATCAATTAAAAAAATTAATTAAGCTTAATTAAAAATACCTACTCTTTTCCAGCTCTCAGAAATGGATTTTGACAAACGAAGTGTCAAAAAAAAGGGAATTTCATAGTGTACTTCTCAAAAAAAAAAAATACCAACATCACTATGTATTCCAATTTCAATCTTTCAATTTATATAACAATTTTAATAAAAGTCATTAAAAAAAATAATGAGGTAAGTCAATGGAACAAGTTTATATTTTTATGTGGGCATCAAGATCCTTTGGAACATATTGGACATTGTGTTTTATGGTCTAAAAATTTGTTGTTTCCAAGATAAGGCATGGGCCCAGCCAAATTCTAGTGATATTTTCTTTTTTCTTTTCCATAGAATGGTAAATTAAAAAGATAAACAAAGAATAGCCCTGAGATAGCTTGAGCATCTTAAAGAGAAACGTTTGATTGAAAATAGCCTAAGGACTGAAACTGTTGGTGTAAATAATGAAATCAAGTAGGACTGTGGCGATCAAATTGTGTTGTAAACAATAGTCATAAAGGTTCTTATCCAAGTTTGATTTTCATATTCCACTCATAATAGGAGTTAAGGGAGCAAGGTAGCTTAGTATGGCACCGTGTTCCTATTCTCTTCTGCGTCTGAACTGGCGCGATCCCTGAAAGAGGCCATGCACCAAGCCATACTAAGAGACAACAGCCCTCCAAATAAATTAAAGGTGATAAAAAATGAAGTGAAACCATGGAGAGCAGTTCCAGCCGCAGTAAACAGAAAGTTGTTCTTACGCGACTAAGAATAGGTCATACTTTTTTAGATCAATTTAAGATAATTTTAATTGGAAGTTTATCCCATCTGACGAATGGTTGTGGGAGATGAAAAGAGCCATTAATCATATAATTGTTTTTATGTTCTTCAACTTTTGTTATTGCAGCATTTTCTTTAACGCCGGATTTTAGAGCAAAACAAAACTACATGGTCTCGAGCAGGATATAGATCCCCCGTATATATGTAGTAATACTCAGTTTTAAAGTAAACTAGTTTTCTTCGCGAGAACTCTAACTAAAACATTTGTCTTTTTTCTCCCTACTGCATTTAAAGAATGACCCTTCCCAATAACCAAAATAAACAACCCACCAAGGGTCTTGGATTCAGTACTTAGTAAGGAACTACTGTATCTTGTTCAGTGGTTGTGCAATTAATTGACCAGGCTCAATCACTAGGTTTTCTCCCTTAATGCCCACTATACAGAGGATGGATGTGTCCCAGGAGGGTCTGATGTGTTAATTAATAATTTGTTTGTATCGAATTTCAGACTAAGAGAATAGGATTGGTTGGTTATTGTACAGTAAAGGTGTAAAACTTGTTGATCATCAATGCTTTCAATTCAAAATATATATTATTATATCTTCTGGTAGTGAATCATATGATAAAATAAAATTAAAAGGACATAAAATTCTAACATTAAGTTAAAAAAATGACCCGCTTGCGGTGTTACGGAGACTGTAGAGCATGTGGTCACATGGCCTGCACCACATTTGATGGATTAAGAGTCATGTTAATAAGAATCACGGGAATTGATGTACTCACCAAGGAGGAGTTTCCTCGGTAGGTAAGTGAGGAGAACTTCCCATGGTTCAAAGAGTTCATAAATGGCTGGAAGAGGGCAGTGGGTCCAGCTAACTTCAACCTAGGGCACCGCAGAAGAAGAAAAGTACCAGTGCCGGGAAGACCTCCAGATTTTGGAAGCCACGCATAATTAAGTTAAATTGAAGACTGCAAAGTAAAAAGAGCTAGCTGCGTGCACAGCTATGAACTGTTATCATTGCAGTAGTGTGATATTATTGAAAGAATTACCATCACACTAATGCATACACCCTAAATAAATAAATAACAACAGATTATTCTAAGTAAGGCTCAGTAAATGTAAGAAATTCTCAACAGAAAGTTTATCAAATCATTATGATATTCATTGGGTGTCTACAAACAACCCTTTTCATCAAATTCCCTGACATTTCCAGTTCTTCTACAACACTAGAGGTCTAATAAAAAAATTATAAATTTTCATAATAGATGTTTGTAAGAAATGTTTAACACAAATTTAACTACAAACATTTTTATTTATAAGGTAAAGTGAATTTTTTGCATATAAATAAAAATATCAAAGCAATTATTTATGGTATATAAATATAAAGAAAGAAACCTTAATTGGTTTTAATGGCAGGAATATTATTTCTTAGTTCATAGTCTTGAGAATTAGGGAAAAAAAATCTGTTCGGTGTAGTATGGGTTCTCCATATCAGTCTCTAGTCCTGGTGAAGCTCTAAATAATGTACTTCTTCAGATATGGATATAGCAATATTAATAAAGTAAATCTGTGAACATGTTCCATGATTTACTGTAAAGATAATGAATACACTTTTTGATATGTTCATTTTTACCTTCCATCTGGTAGTCCAATAAGAAATATCATCTAGATGGTTCTGTATAATGAAAGATACGATTACAGGGTTTTCGTGTGATGTAAGAAGTGTAATATCATCAGCTAATTTTCCAAGTGAAGTTTGGTCGTGTTCTGGTAAGCCTGTTGTGAAAATATTGAATGGTAATAGTTCAAGTAAACAGCCCTGTGGACCTGCTGCTCTAAAATGGTTTATGCTGGAAAATACATTGCCAACTTTTACAGTAAAGTGTCTGTCTGTCAAGTAAGAAAGTAGTATTAAATAGTAGGTCGAAGGAAGCAGAATTTAGAGCTTGGAAGGCAATCCTTTATGCCATACCTTATCAAAAGCTTGATTGATATAAAGAAAAACAACAGAACAATAATTTTTTGACTCATGAGAACTGGAAATGTAATCTATTTCCTTGTTGTATGACTGAATGATGTACCTGAAGCCCAATTGATTATTCGGAAAAGAAAGGGAGAAGGCTAAAAGGATGATAAGAATTTAGACAATCTAAAGGTTTATTGGCTTTTGATATCATAACAACTTCAGAATATTTGCACACTATGAGAAATATGTTATTTTAAGAATAGAGTTGAAGATATTAGTTAGAAAGAGGATTGCTTTCCAAAGTAAGTTTTTCAGAATAAAATCGTAACCCAGAGCTTTATTATTTGGTAAATTTTGAATGAAATTATGTACTTTGTGTAGGTGAAATGCCTTTGGCAGTAGTGTCATCTGTAAGGGTACGTTAAGTTGGTGTAAAATAAGTTTGTTGGCAGTATGCATTTCGTCATATTCCAAAATGATTTATCCGAGGTTACTAATCTATTAAAAGACTTATCAAATTTTTTAGTCTTTATATGCATTATCTCACTGTCTAGTTTTCTCGTTAATTTGTTAAATTTGAGTGTCTGTAGGATGTTCTTAATTTCTGTTTGATGAGATGTTGTACATGTGGTTAAAGGTTCTTTAGTTTGATGGTTCTCTGCCCTATTATTCGAAACAGAAGAACCCCAGGCAATAATTTGTACAGTTTGTGTTAGAAGCTGCACTTCATTTTCAAGTCATTTACAAGTCTTCCAGTGTCCGTATGTATCTATTGAGTGTTAAAGAACTTTCAATTGTTGCCCTGAACCAGCACCAGTCAATTTTTCCATATGTAAATATTGGACCTGACATTTTGATAATTGGTTTTGTGTCCACAGTAATCAGTACTGGAGAGTGATTAGAGTATAGTTCAATCAGAGACATTATGTTATGTCACAGAGCTGGAAGTTCAGCCCCTTAGTGATGAAGGAAAAAAAATATGGGAGAGAAAAAAACCGGTTTGTAACATTAACTGTTCAATTTTAATGGGTTCTCTGCCTTCTTTTCTGACACCTGAGAGGATTATTGAAAACAGATAACGAAGCAAGTTTATGAACTTTATAGAAATGGAATTTACAATGAAGATATTTGTACTAGGGAGGAATTCAGTAATTTGACAGAGCCTAAAAGCTCAACAAAATTAACCCAAATAGGCACAATTGATGGCAAGCATTTAGATAATTTTTTTTATAATGAGCATTAATCAAATAATAGTTCAAATAATCAGAAATAACAGATAGTTTATTCCTATGAAAATACTAACTGATGATTCTATATAGCTCACTTGATAAATAGTCACAGGCAGAAAATAATTAAGGATGTTGCAGTTTGGACAAAGAGTTTAAGTGATTTGTTGAGATTCCATAAGCAACTTATAACTGAAATATTAACAATTTTTTTTTCTCATTGAAATCTAATTAAATTAATTCTTTTAATATTACAAAACAAATCAATATCCTGAGATAGTAAACTAAACTTATTGAAAAAAATTGGCATTGCTAAAACCAAAATTACTCATGAAAAGTTGAGATGCCTAACAATCACTTGTAGCAATCGTTGCTCTCAAAGACATCATTTAGAACCATCAAATGATCTTGTTTCTAAAAACCTCTTATATTTCATTAAACAACCATTTATAATGAAAGTTAAAGATTCTGCATTAGCTAATTAAGAGACATGAGAACACAGTAAAAAAAATAATAGAACAATAGTTTTATTGTGTGGCACACTTTTTGAATATTTTATTTCTAATACCATATCAATATCATCACTACAATCCTTGTCCATAATGTGACAGATATTGATCAATAAAAAAAGAAAAAACTTCAACCACAATTTTTACTTTCACTTACGTATATATGTAATATATAGTAAGGGTAAGTATTGCGATCGAGAAAATTTTTGAATCTGAGTTTTCAACAGAAATAGACATCTTGAGGTACCCTGAGTCGAAATGACCAAGTCCCGAAAAATGGTCTGTGTGTTTGTATGTTAGCAGTCTAGCTCAAAAACGAAAAGTCCTATGAAACTGATATCACGTATTTAAGATAGATATATGCCTTAGTTGTGACAGCAACTTTTTCCTTAAAATCGGCTAACCGGAAGTGCCACTTTATATCAACGCTGAAACACATTTTCACAATTTTCTCAAAAACGGCTCTAACGATTTTGATTAAACTCGGTGTATCATTGTATAATTAAGTGGTCTTTAATATCAATTAGGTCTTATCCCCATTGATATCACTTTACAGGGCTTAAATGCCCAATGTTCATATACGTCTTCCTCTAAAGTACCTTTAATATGGTTTATTTTAAAAAGTTAATCATTTCACATTATTCAAAGTAATGGAAAAATGCTAAATATAAATTTTGAAAGAATTCGATAAGTTAATAAAGGAGAAAAAAAATAAAAATTCAGAAAAACCTGCGTGGCTAAAGACTGTAGCGCCTAAACGAATGTACCGATTTCAATGAAACTTCGCTAAAGTCATTTTCTCGACACCCTTTAAATTTATCTGTATAACATACTTCAACGAAAAGAAGCTGGAAAAAAAGTTACGAGGGATGGTAAAATTAAATTCCGAATAACTCAAAAAGTATACACTTTCTTGGGGATATTGTATGTGGTTTTTTAAAAGTTTATGGAATTTCCTAAAAAAAAAACGAAAAAACAACGTTAAAATCGGACAACTAGGAGGAAAGATATGGTCTCTAGTTTTTTTCCCTGAAGAGGCGAAAATTTGGATAAATTTAAAATATACTTTTTTAATTGTTGAGACTAAAAAAACCTTTTTTCTACAGATATTTAATAAAGTATCTTTCCTAAGAACATCTTTCATAAGAAATAAGTACCTAAATTTATACCTTAATTCTCAGTTCTATATTTCAACACTGCAATCACCACCTCTGGAATCAACTTACTCATTGTCTGAATAGATAACTTTTTCAACTAGAAATATCACTAACATGACATCACTTAAAAATATTGAAATTGGAGTTAGTCATTCTGAAGTTTATAAAAGCAAAGAAAGTTGTGTGGTTTATAAAAGCAGATGGAGTGACTACATTTTTATTGTCTGTTGTCGATATATTAAATAGACATTTTGTAATTATAATAGTCTTAATGAATTGTTATCTGTAAGCTTTAAGCTTTAGCTTCGTTTAAAATGCACTTAAAAAAAAATTTATAATAGCCCAGCATTGCCAGAAAATAATTTCTATTCATAGTAGATCGGTAAGTGAAAGTTGTGTGTTGCGCGCACCAGATTTTTTAGATAAAATTCATGTTAACTATTTCTATATAGTATAATGTAAATAGATTTTATTACTATTGTTTTTGTTTTTGTTTTTTTTGCTGCCTTCTAGACAAATATGAATAAAAAATTCTTCCATCCCATTATTTCTAATATCATAACTTCTTCCCCTAAACCCTACGCTCAAATTCCTTCAGATCAGATTCATGAGGAACCATTAAATGAATGTGAAATGATTTGTATTTGAAAAATTAATTCTGAATTTGATAAAACTAAGTTATTCTTAATAATTGTTGAGTTTTTCACGATGTTAAGCGCAGCTCAAAATGAAAAATAAACAAAACTGATACTACATATATAAAGTAAGTATATGCTCGAGAGGTTACAGCATCTTTTTCATTAAAATTGACTAACTGCTGCAAGTACCACTTTACGTAATTTATTTTACATTTTATACAATATTTTTTCTTGAAAAGCGGCTAACAATTTCAATTAAACTTGTTATGTACAATAAAGGGGTCTTTAAAACCAAAAATGTCTTACCTTATTGAAAAAAAAAATCATCGGAATCGAACCAGTATTAGCGATGACAGAGTATTCTATTTTCTACACATTTTATAATTTATTACTTTTTATTATATGTATAAGTATCGGGCCAAATTTTCAATGTGCGGTTTTCAACTGATGTTTAAGTTCCAGAGCCCTCTGAGTCCGAAAAACATTTTACCAAAAACCAAAACAAAGGATATCAGTTTTGCCGTTGAATATATGGAAAATATTTAGAAAAAATATCTTTGGAACAAATCGTCCGATTTCAACATTGCTTTTGGAAATTTAGTAAACTCTTAAATATAACATCAAAAGTCAATACTTTTTGAACTATTCGGAAATTTAATTTTATCATTCCTAGTTAATTTTTTTTTCCATCTTCTTTTCGAAGATATTATATATATAAATTTAAAGGGCTTCGAGGATAAGCCAAGGATAAGGATAGCCAAGTTTTATTGAAATTAATACCTCGATTTAGGCGATACATCTGTTCAACACAGGTCATTCGGCCACCATTTTCAAAGGAAAGTACTTTATAGTGAAGTGTCTTATACATGAATTTAAAGAACATTAAGAAGACTTTAGTCAAGCTTCACTAAAATTGGTATATCTATTACAGTCAAAAGCGACATTTATTTTCCGGCCACCAACTTGAAAGAAAAGGTAACAACGAGTACTGAGCACCATTCTTGGGTTCCCTTTGACTTTGATACCAAATCTCAAAACAATATTCTTAGAGAAAAACCGATTTTTTTTAATTTTAGATTCTACATATCTTAAAATACAATGCTTCCCTACTTTTGATAGTGAGAAAGCAAACTATAACCTCAAATTTTGAGGGGAGACTTTTTTTTCGTAGTCAACTAAAAAGGTTAATTATTGAAATTAATAAACGAAACTGAACCATAATTAACTAAGTTATAGTGCATTGAATTTTTTAAGATAATTTTAATGGCAGTTCATGTAACCATTAGCATTTTTTTAGTTCATTAAAAAAAATCGTACCAGTATATCATTTCTCTGACCGGATTTCAGAAAAATTACTGCAATTAACTTCTTTCTTTTTTTATTGGCGTATTTGAAGTAGTATGAATGATACACCAGATTTTTATTAATAGAAATTGTTATTCTCATTTAAACTTAAAATCCATGAAAACATTAAATTGCTAGAGATTGTATTTAAGATTTTCATAAACAAAAAATTCAATTTTTCAGTACAGGGGCTGAACAATACTTAATTCAGCAATATAACTAGGAATCATAAGGAAAATAAAATAATTATTTGTGGATATATAACTGTATTACAAACAGACTATATGAACAACACAAAAAAAAAATTACTTAAAATATAATAACTCCCTCCTTTATCAAGTATTTAGATTTTTTGTTTAAGTAACAAGTCTGACTTAAAGAGCTCGAAGCTGGGGATGAATAATTATTAATCTAAAGCTAACAAATTTATACTATACTGAGGGATATAAATTTTTTTTAAATACTTCAGTCCCATAGATTTTAAGAGCATTAAAGAATTTTAGTTGCAAAATAAATTGATTGGAAAGGGCTTATCAATATTTTATTTTAAATTGCAATCATCAGTAACCATTACATGAAAACTTTTGATTTCTATTACAAAAAGATATTTAATGACATTAAGGTAATATAAAGCCAATTTGTTTATAATTACATAATTTTAGCCCTAAATATATTAGATATTTACATTATTATATAAACTAAATATATATTTTTTCAAAACAACATAAAAGGATTGTTTAACGTTTAAGGACCAAAATGATTATTTCTTGAAAAAAAAATCTATTTTTTTTTAAATAGAAAAAGGAAATTTAAGATTACCAGCAGAAAAAATTAAATAAAATAAGAAATTTCCTTAAACATGTTCTATACAAATTTTAAAATAGTTCAAGTACGCAATGAACATAATTAAACAATATTCACAAAAACACGCAATATTAACCTGTCCACTTCATCTAACTATACAGAAAAAACTATTGATGATAAGTTACTTATATTAAAGAGAAATGTCAGAAGACAGTAGATGTTACATTGTTTTTATGATTTTTCTCTTGCGTGTTTATCCAAGTTATGAACTTCAGAAGCTTCCTCAGTCATCTAAGGTCTGTGATAACAAGAAATTCGCTGCAAGGTTTTCGTTTTTTTCACAGGCAAAATACGCTTGTATAACAAGGTGTTCAGGAAAGCCAAGAGCTTTTAGCTGAAAAAAAAGTAAAATAAAATAATTAAATGATTGAATATTAATAGACAAATTAATAGTATTTGATGAAATTACTTTATTATTTTTTCACTTCAAAAAGAACATAACAAACAATTTATCAATAATTTGTTGTGAAATAAGTTATTTGTGATAAAGAATTGTGATCCAGTGGTTTGTCTATATCTAAAGAAACAGATGTATTACAATTGTGTAAACATTAAAAATACATAACGTAATAACACAAGTTCGATATTAAATTTGAAAATAAGGTTGTTGAAATTGTAAACAACTTATAAAAATTACAAGTTGAGATTGAAACTGAAACAGAAAGTCCAGATAATTCTGTAATAGATTTAAATTTTGAAACAAGTGTCAGTGCAGTGCGGAACTAAACTGATACTTAAAATTTAGATAAATATCTTAAACAATTTTTTTCCAAAACCTGAGGAACCCATTCCTTGAAAATGGACCTCAAAGAGAAATTAATGTCTGTGTCTCCTTTCTCTAGAAAATTTTGGGGCTGTAGCTTGAGAAACATTTTCTTATGCTTGATAATAATATTCATAATAAATATTTACCCTTTCAATAGCTTCCTTGTCCTGGGGCGTAACTGGGACTTGAGTAGTAGTAGAGTTTTGTGTTGCCTCAGCTCCACCCCCACCACCTCCACCACCACCGCCACCGCCGCCACCACCACTTGCGCTAACAGGCTCATTGAGCATTCGGACAAATTCCTCTTGGTGTTGTGATATAAGCTGTAAGAGAGCAGGATTGCTTTGGCCGATTTGTTGGAGGACTGTATTAAGAAGTTCAGGATTCTGTTGTACTACAGAACGCATCTGTTGGAACTGAGGCTGTGACCTCAAAAATCCAAGAGGCTCTTCTGATGATTCAGTCCTTTCTCCTTGTTCACCTGCTACAAAAATAAACAGAACACAAGTGTAAACAAACCTACTCACATAATACTCTTGTTTAAATAGTATTTAACAAGAAAAAATAATTCATACAATGAATTAAATTTTTACTACTGCTAAATTGTTATTTTATATAATTATAAAATAGAAAACACTAGCGGATCCAGGATTTAATTTTGGGGGGGGGCTTCAGCCCGAAAGCTTTTTTTTCATAAAAATGACGATAATTAATTTGGAAAAAAAGAAAGAAACTAACTATCTATATTAAATGGTGTTTAAGTGATTCCTTAAGGCCTTTTAAAAGTAATTACACGAATAATATTACTTTAAGAGATAATTTTTTAATATATTTTTCCATAAAACATGGTTATATTTTACCATTTTGGGGGGGGGGGGGCCTTCGGGCTGAAGCCGGCTCCACTAAACCATTGAATTCCTCTCGTATCCAATCCTTACAATCCAAAATCCTTCGTAAAATGCTCAATGCTCCTCACATCGTCACAAATAAAATCATCCATAAAGACCTTAATGTTCCATATGTTTCCTATTTGGCCCAATCCAGATACCTATCCTTCCATAACAAACTGCCTCCTCTCCTAAAATCCGAATCCTCTCGTTTCAAACCTTGCTTCCTCCTCGATCCCTGATAACCCTCAGAGGCGTCTGAAAAGAAGATGGCCTAGGGATCTTCTAATATAGAACTTTAATCTGAGTTCTACCAATGGGTAGTTTCTCTTCATGTTGTACATGTCATGTTACCAATGTCACATTTACTTGTTGTATTTTCCATGTAATACAGTTGTAAATTTCATTAAAATAAAAAAATAAAAAATATTAATGATACTAAAATATCCCACTAGGAAAATATAACAAAAAACAATAAAAACATTTTTATTTTACTTTTAGGCAATATATAGGGTGTCTAAGGGGAAATTGTCAATAAATGAAGGAGGAATAGTTTAACAAAACCATAGTTAAAAAAGTTGCTTCATTTCAACTTTATACCTAACATATTGCAAAGCTCGTAATATTGAAGAAATCTTGTGGTTGGAAGGTCAAAAACTTTGAGATACCAATAATACCGGTACCTACCTACCTGATACATTTTTGTACTGGTTCTGCTATCTTGTAAATAAGGGTTGAGGGTGGGTTACTAACTGCAAATATTTCTAATTCCTTCTATTGTTCCTTCACCAATAATATATTAGCCATGAAAGCTTAAAAAGAGTATATCGGCAAAACTATACATAGAACCAACTTAATGGTTTATAACCAGAAAGAAACAAAGATAATATAAATTAATATGTTCTTAAAAACTATGGAAAATAAAAATATCACCATAAAAGGGAAAAAACAACTTATAATAGATTGATTTTTTTGGTAGAATATAGAACGAAAAAAAAAAGTTTTAAAACACTGATTTGTCCGAGACATAAATATGAGCTTTGTGTAATCAATGAATGACTGGGAGGTGGTCGATTCTCAGACTAAACCCATCATAACAGGACAGAAAATACCAGATAGAAGTATTGTATTTAAATTTGTTGACCTCCCAATCTCAAATGCAAAATTAAACTAGCTTCACAAAGTTTAGTACACTCATTAGAAGCTGATGAAATGAAGTAACTTTAAGATAAATTAAAAATGAAATAAAAGTGTTTTATGGAATTTTTTATTTTTTCTAATTTGCTTTGCTTTGACTGCTATATCGGCTGATGAATTGATGTTTTCCGGTAAATTGGTTGTTGTCTAATTGGAATTCATTGTATATGTCAAAAATGGCAACAAAAATCGACAAACGTACAGTTAATTAGGAAACAAAATTGGATTTTATAGGAAAAAAAAACATCAATCTCGATATACCCTATCAACGGTTCGAGATAGGATGGGGTCGCTTTGAATTATATCATCTAATTAACACTACTTAGAGGAGTCAAAGTAGTTAAAACAACACTAAACAAGATAAATCAGAGAGGGATATATAATAATAATAATAATAATGATAGGATCAATAATTATTACTCTAGAACCCAGGACTGTGACCTCACAATAAGGAATACTTGGCCATCAGAACATCTTTGTATTATAATTGGTAAATGGTTGACTGTCGTGGATAATGAAGAGAAGAATAGTTGGGGTGGTCAGTCAAAAAAGAAGGCAAAAATAAATGATAATATTTATTTGTTATATAATTGTAATATTTAATATTTATTGCCTTGTTATCTTGTTCTTTTCTTAGCCCTGATGATGGCCTGAACTTCAGGTCGAAACGTCGGCATATGTAAAAATAAATATTATCATTTATTTTTGCCTTCTTTTTTGACTGACCACTCCAACTATTCTTCTCTTCATCTTTGTATTAGTTTACTAAACATAAACTGATAGGAAAAAAACATAAGCCCAGACAGGTACGTAACAAACAAAGAGGATTTTATAAAAATCGATGCTTCTATAAAATTTAAGCTCTACCGCATTAGTAGGCATATGAGTTACGGTATTGAGAAAAAAACCATCAGGGATTCCAGGGATCGAATCCACACCTACATGGATCATAGTAACTCTTATCATTACACAGCCACAACAATCCGACTGACAAAGAAAAGAAAAGGATAATCATACATACTTGTATCATTTGCTGTTGGTTGCTCTGATGCATCTGGATCTGGAGGAATTCCATTGATAAGATATTCTACAGCCCTGTCAGGGTTGTTGTAACTAGCTCTCAATGCTGCTTCAACCTGAAATTGCAATAAGTAATAATAAATATTGATGTTGGAAATAGAAAATCTAAAAATAATCTTCCATTTCAGATAACTACAGCTTTACATAACTTCATCAAGATAATAAAAACTTGTTAAACTACAAGTTACTAATATGGTGTATTTTCCTAGAATATATCTTTAACACAATTTCATAATACCAATTTATTCTTTATTGTGAAACATACATGTTTAATTATTAATTGTGGGTTGATGGTTGACTATAGTGAATAATGAAGAAAAGGATGGTTGCAGAGATCAGTGAAAATAAAAATGGCAAAAATAAATAATAATATTTATTTTAACATTTGCCGACGTTTCGACCCAAATGTTTAATTATGGTATATTCCCTTATATAATTGTAAATTTCAATAAATTGAAAAAATAATTTTATTCTGGTGAGTTTAAAGATGGTCTATAATAATTCCCTTATAATCACTTTGGATTTATGGTAAGGTAAAAATCCTTTAATCAATCACCTGAGGTAAAAAACTGGTTTTAAATTTATGTCAATTATTGATTGTATGCTTTAGTGTATTGATAATGTATACTGGTAGGTCAGAGGTAGGTAGGTATTCTACATACAATCTCTTTTTGAATTTTTGAAGAGAAAAATAAGCCATATATGATGACAGAATCTCTATAAATTAAAACAGTCTAACACTGTGTGCTATGTTTAAAGTGGATTTACACAGGATATAACTTCTCAATTTAGACAAAGTAAAGGAAAACCCAGTTAAAAAGTTTATTACAAAAGTTTCTTAGCATGTTAACAATTTTCAAAGATTGCTAAAAAAAAAAATTAAATAACTTATTATTATTTAGACATATGTAGGCCTTTTTACTTTCCTACCTATATTAGGTAAGGAAAGTATTGCAATCAGGTCAAATTTCCGACATGCGGTTTTCGACAGATCTATACGTTTCAGAGCCAAAATTTTCTTGGAAACTACTGAACCGATTTTGTGGCTATTTTTTTCTATTCCATTTTTTTTTTACAGATTTTTTAACTTATTACTTTCCCACGCCATTTAGCCTGTCGTTTGAAAGGTAATGAAATTCCCTACAAAGCCATACAAAAATCGTTCATTTTGGACAACTATTAACGAAGTTACAGCTATTCAATTTCCAATGTAAGATTACGGTTTCATATCGTTGTGTCAAAAAGGGGTGAATGAGAGAATAAAGATGACTAAGCGAAAGTAAGAAAATCTGTTGCCCGCATCACACAATCTTCACTATTTCCTCTACTTTTAACAGAGATTATTGTTTGACAATACTAAGCTATGGCAAAAAGTTTTTGAACAGCAATATTAGGAAGTATTGAAATTTTTACACTCATCTACCTTAAGCCGGTTTACATTGCTTTAGTTTATCAAATAAATCGTACTCAAATCTTATGTTTGATCAATTTTCAGGAAAATATATCTAGTTCAATTATTTTTGTTTCTTCATGAACATATGTAAAGATATAAATTTTTTTCTGAAATAGGTAGGAAAGTGGTGTGAGTGGACACACCATATATTTCTATAAGAGGCCGCGATAAGGTTAGGCAGTGCTAATATAGGCCACAATAATTCTTTATATTTTACAGTTGCTATTTTTATTTATTATTTAACTACTATTTATTATAGAATTAAGTACATTTAACTTAATTCTATTAATTTCTAAATTGTCGTTACTTAAATAATTAAATATTAATTAATTCTACCACTAGATTAATAAATATCGCACAAAGAAGATGGGCCGTGGTTCCGCACCTAAGATTTAGACCAGTTCATTAAAATGTTAGTACAATTTTTGTTAATAACTTTGTTATTAATGACAATTGCTAATATTAACATTAGGACTTTTTCCCATAACATTGTGAATAATAAAAATTTCAATATTCCTTAAGGACTTAACAATAGTACTTATACAGATTTTCCTGTGATAGGAGACAGATAAGTTTTCAGTTGTAACTTTTGTTATGACAGCACTTGGTTGACTCTCAGAACTTTAATATCCACAATGGGAAGGTCAGAGCGGATTATTAAAATTATACAGGAATTCCACTAACATTCATGTTCACAGATTCTACTGTTAAGGATTATTAAGATAAAAAAAAAGTAATGAATAACAATTGATTTAAACTATTTTAGATTGACAGTGGGCAGACTGAATTGAGGAATGGAAAGAAAAATGAGGATACTGTGTTGAAGAGAATGACAGCAAAAGATCAATAATCACAATATATGATGCTGCAAAAGTCATTAGAATGAGGCCAAGGCTGAACCGATCTGATATGAAAGGAATGGGAGCTGTATTCCTTTCAGTTACATTTTGACTAATATGTCAACAAATTTCGTTATAACATTTTGACCTATCCAGACATTCCAACAGAATGTTATAATTTTTATTAAAAAGATGATTATCTGTAATGTTAATAACATTTTAATATTGATAAGTATAAAAAATAGAAATTTTGTAGTGACAGTTAACTTTCGCTGGTTACTATTTCTCTTATAACATTTCAGTATAGCTTCAATGAAAAGCATACAAGAAATAAAATCAATTGAGGTATTTGTCATATGGTTATGAACTTGCCATTCTTAATAAGTGAATATTGTCATATTTTGGAGTAGTCTCAATTGATTATAATATTACTGGATGAGACGTTGACATATTCATAATTACACTGGCAACAAATCGAAAAGTCTTGTCACATGAGGACCCAATCCCTCATTACTAGAGCTATTGGTATTGCCCTTTTCTGCATGGCATGACTACTTGGCCCGTCTGCGGAGAATTAATTATTTTTAACTCAATACAGTATCATTGAAGGAACTTAAGTCGACTGTACTACATATCATTGTAATGATCAATGATCTGCATAAATCTCCCCTAGACATTGAAGAGGATACTGTATTGAAGTAGGTGATAAATAGTCAGGACGCAGTCATTTCAGTACTTGAATAACTTCAGTGCTCGAAACACGTAGTGATGATGATCCATTTGCTTTGATTGAAACGTCGGCACAAATAAAAACCTTAAATATGACTGCGTCCTAACTATTTATCACCTACTTTAATACAGTATCCTCTTCAATGTCCAGGGGAGATGTATGCAGATCATTTTAACTTTGCAAGTGGCATCTACAGATAAAAATAAACCAGTCAGGACATCCAATATTTATTTGAGTGCCCAATAACAAACAGTAATTATGCTAAGCATGGGTGTTGGATAAATGAGAAGATATAAAAAGGATGGATTACATCATGATAATTGATTTTCTATTTCCTCTTCACTAACTTGTATTTTGAACACGTTCCAACTTAATAGAGATTTTCAAATTTTTTTAATAAAAAAATTACCCAAACTTGATTCTTAACCTTTTGACTGCGGAGGGAATACATGCCTTCTTGTTAAGAGTTGGGTCACTGGTGCAGATGGGATATATGCCTTCCCACCTGGGTGGTCGCCACTTAAGGCAAGGGGGTCCCGCTTGCACCATTTGACTTGTGGCTTGGTTGTGCATTCATTAGTCCTCTGTAGCTAACTCAGTGCATTCGTTCCGGATTCTGAGCATTTGGAAGCTAACGGTTGCAGATTTATTCTGAACCCAATTTATGTCCTTTCTCTGTTATTTGCGTCATATTCATGATCTTATTTATATTCTATTTAAATGTTTTATACATAAAGTAAATGTTATAAATTTATTTTATAATGTTTTTCTCCTTTATTTTAGTTTTGACTGAATGCTGATTTTGGTATAGTGCATCTAAGTTAAGTTTGAGTGTTGGGGAAAAAAGCTCGCGCAGCTTTTCCCCACTCAAGTTCCACCTCTCCAAGAATTCTCTATAGAGCTCCACTTCTCCTCTTCAACATAGCAACCACGTTATACCAGGAAAGCGTTATTCCATTTTCTTCAAATTTAGTACTAATGTTTATTAAAGGTAGGGGTTTGAATTAAAAATAAAATAAAACAATGAAAAGGATGGTTAAATAATGAAATTGAGAAAAAAATATATTTGAATTCGTGAGATCTTCTGTTTACAGAATTCAATGTTATAACTAGGATCTGTAGATTTAAACTTAGCAAGAAATAGATCATAAAAAGATCAAGAAATAGATGGAAACTATAGAACAGAAAAGAATCCGATATTACGTTCTTCAATATAATGGGGAGGATTTTTTTTCATTTACTTCGAAACGTAAACAAAGAAAATTGTCCACATTTTTTTATTATTTTAGACTGTACTGTATTAGCTCGAATCAAATGAATCGCAATATGTAAACAGTCAATCGAATATTAACATAGAGGACAATAATCCTTAATCCTTTATTCAATGAAATGATTCTAGATTCCAATGTTTACTTTCTATGGAATCAAAATGTTTATTCAGTATCATTAGTTCAGTGCCATTTCTTGCAGCACATTTCTTAGTCTCCGGCTTTCAATTTTTTCAATATTAAGTTTAAAAATGCCTCTTAGTGCTGAGGATGTTGCGCGTGGTGTGGCACTTATTGATGATGAACGTTCCATTAGATATGCAGCTAATGCCATCGGAGTTCAATATGAAACTTTACGAGAAGCCGTCAGGCGTTTTCGGGAAACTCGTTCTTTCAATAGAAGGCCCAGTTATGGACGGCCTAGGGTAACAGAACCACGGGATGACCGGTTTTTGACTTTGACGAAACCGGCACCTTACCGTTGTTCAAGCGATTCATCAGCTCGAAGAAGTTCGACGTGTGCAAATTTCTGAACGTATCGCTCAGAGAAGATTAAATGAGTATGGATTAATGGCTTTTCGTCCAGTAAGAGGACCAGAGTTGACCAGAACTCAAAGAGTAACACGGCTGGATTTTGCTCGAGAACACAGCCATTGGACTATGGACGAATGGAGTGCTGTACATTTTACAGATGAGTCAAGATTCGCTCTTCTATCTCCAGACGGGTGTGAAAGTGAAAGGGTGTGGAGAAGAAGAAACAAAAGATATGCAGCCTGTAATTTTTCCCAGAGTCAACCTTTCCAACGTGGTTCCTTAATTAATAAAAAGGCTGGGATTTCGATGGACGCACAGAATTGGTTATTGTTCATGGAGGGTCTTTGACGGCCATTCGCTATGTAGACAAGATTTTGGAACCTCATGTGTTGCCTATCCTCAACGAAATCGGCGATCGTTCTATTGTAATGCATGATAATGGACGCCCACATGTCGCCCGCATAGTTCAGACGTTCCTTCAATAGAACAATATTGAGGTTTTAGCCTGGCCAGTACGTTCTCCAGATTTGAACCGCATTGAGCATTTATAGGATAACCTCGGACGATGAATAAGAGTGTGTGCAACACTTCCTGATACACTGCAGGACCTTGAAAGGGCTCTTCGGGAGGAATGGGCTATCCTCCAGCAAAGGGACATTTCCCGACTGGTGGAAAGTATGCCGAGGCGTCTTCATTCATAATATTGAAAAAATTAAAAGCCGGAGACTAAGAAATGTGCTGCAATGTGCGGTAAGGTGCCGGTTACGTAAAATTCTCAAAGTCAAAAACCGGCCATCCTGTGGTTCTGTTACCCTAGGCCGTCCATAACTGGGCCTTCTATTGAAAGAACCAGTTTCCCAAAAATGCCTGACGGCTTCTCATAAAGTTTCATATTGAACTTCGATGGCATTAGCTGCATATCTAATAGAACGTCCATCATCAATAAGTGCCACACCACGCGCAACATCCTCAGCACTAAGAGGCATTTTTAAACTTAATATTGAAAAAATTGAAAGCCGGAGACTAAGAAATGTGCTGCAAGAAATGGCACTGAACTAATGATACTGAATAAACATTTTGATTCCATAGAAAGTAAACATTTGAATCTAGAATCATTTCATTGAATTAAGGATTAAGGGTTATTGTCCTCTATATTAACATTCCTAATTGAAAACAAACAAAAAGATTACCTATTTATTCATTAAAAACAATAAACCAATCCAAAGCATAAATATTTTTAGATGAAAACATGAAAAAATCAAGTGGGTGGAATTTTTTGCCTGTCAGTGTATATAAAAAAAAATGAAATAATAAAAATAGCCAAAAATAAATTAAATAATACAAAACTACTTAAACAGCATATGTACATATAAAAGAAACACTATAAAGAAACGATATAAACAAAATATGAAAAATTTTATTTTAACTTGATTTATTTTGGTAGAGAAAATAGTTTTATGGTATTTAAAATAGAAACAGTTTTCTTACAACTGCGAAAGCATCTCCATTTAATCTTCCCGTCGAACTTTATTTGATGACCTTCATCACAATATTAGACCTTTGCAAATATCCCGGCGTCTTCAAAATATTTTATAGCCTCTTCTTCTGAAGACAGCAATTCCCACAATGTGACAACATCCATAATTAAATAACACCTTGGGTTAGATGAGATAAGGGAGGTTATGTGAAATGAGATTAGATAAGAAGGGAGGTTTTGACGCTACCCGCTATTAAATAAGTACCAAAAATTTCTACTTGTAAACAAAAATTTAGAAGTAAATATGAAAGAGTAGAGAACGCAAAAGAGTGGGGATAGGCGAGAAAATGTTTTGCCACTGCATATCTCTCTCCCCCTCTACCCACCCTCAAAGTTATCGTAGACAGAGTCTGCACGTGAATCTCTTCTGTCTAGTATACAAATAAATCTAAGTTCCCTACATTTTTTATACATATGTGTGTGTATCTATATATATATATATATATATATATATATATATATATAAAACATTGAGAAACTCGCCAAGACTCTGATAAGAGAGATAGAGCAGATCGGCCTACAAGTAAATGAAGACAAAACAAAGAGAGATAGAGCAGATCGGCCTACAAGTAAATGAAGACAAAACAAAATACATGATAATAAGCTGAAAATTGCACCCCAATAACAGGATCTGCGTAGAAGGAAAATCATACCCGCGAGTAGAAAATTCAAATACTTTGGCTCCACAATAACCTCAATGAATGACCAATGAGCAGAATTAGAACAGTGTATAACTATTGGAAACAGAGCTTTCTTCTACCTTTCAAAGGTACCTAAAACCTAAAAAAATCTCAAGAAATCTTAAATCAAGGGTGTACAATGCCATGATGAAGCCAGTTCTAATATATGGCTGTGAGACCTGGACAATAACCAGCACTCTAGAAAAAAAGTGTTGAAAGATTTGAGAGAAAAAGCCTCCACACGATAATCGGAGCGATCTGGGATCAAAGTACTAATACATGGAGAAGAAAGACCAATAAAAAACAGCTTATAGAAACTGGTCAATCAATATCCCATGATATGAGCCATGGAGGTCAAGATGGGCAGGGCATGTTGCTCATAGCAATCCATCTGGAAGCCTCTACTGTGAGAACGGCAAATGCAGTGAGAATAGTGGCTGCTCGAATCAGAAGGAATTAATTCGAAAACAACAAATCATGTCTCGGGAAATGGGAATCTCTGTCAGATCAATGTCTCGTATAGTAAAAAGTGACCTTAGGATGGGTGCATTTTGAAGAATGACAAAACAAAGGCTAACCACTTCCCTACAAAAAATTAAGAGAGGATAGGTGCAAAGTGGTCCTTGGCCGTAATACCAATGGTCTTCATCGAAAGATAAATATAGATATATATATTTATGATCACTTACAATTATTTTTGTGATCATTTTCAGTTATTTTGCTTTTCAGAAATACGCAAGAAAGTGAAGTGTTGCAGGATTGCCGCTCTAATTTTGCATTACTATGTGCGGCAGGAGAGGCATATATCCTGTTTTTTAAAAGTCGAATAAAAACATTAAAATGAATTTTTGAAAACTAAGATCTTGCAGGGAGACCCCTGCAGTCAAAGGGTTAATCAATGAATAATGAAAAGGCATAAGTAAATAAACAATATTTTATAATATAACTATTTAAAAATCATATTAAAAATAATCCATGCTAACCTGTGGCTTTTCATATCCCATATCAACAATGTTCTGAACCATGGTACTATACTCATCACCCATGAGTAGTGTTGATTCAGCTTGGGAAATGCTAGCAGCAGGTGTCGTTCCTTCTTGAGGAGGAGCAGGCTGTGCTTCTTGGGCTGGAGGTGCTGCTGTTGTTGCAGGAGGTGCAGTCGGATCAGCTGGCCCTTGATGAGAGGGAGGGGGCCCTTTGGGCTTAGAAACCATCACTACTATAAACTTTTTTTCATCTATGTTATATTCACTGACAGGAGTTTCATCATTGAGTATCTTACCTAAAAAAAATATAATACTAAAAATAAAAAGGGTACAACTTATTAAGAAGAAAAGGTTGTAATTTATTAATATTTTACACCTAAAACTCTATTTAAATAAATTCTAAGTGTAATTTAGCCAATTTTCTGCTCAAAATATATGTCTAAGAAAAAATATAATCCTATCTAAATATGAGAACATCACCATTTAAAGTAAATTTATATTAATATTAATTAATAATGCCATAATCGAATTCTTTCTTGTATTTAAAAGAAACAAAAAGAACCATTAATGAAACTCAATACTCAATTAATTCATTATTTTCTCTATAGAGCTACATCGACTTCTGCATAAAAAAATAAAATTAAATAAAGAATAAAGCTGTACCAAAACCCATGGTGGTTTGTGGGGTAAGAATTTTTCAAGGAAGTACTGTTTATTGGTCAATGGTGAAAGAAATTGATTACACTAAAGAATGTCATTGAGAAAATGATTAAGATCACACAAAACAACCAGGTTTTCCACTTTAATAATAGTTAAATATTTAGAGTAACCACTTCATAGAGGCTGAGTACACATCATACATAATTACCTATCACATCCAGGCTCTTGTTATATGAGCCTTTCAGTTAACAGAATGACTAACTCCATTTTCAACTTCTTTTGAGTAAAATCATTTTAGTGATATTTCTAGTTGGAAAATTTATAATATTTGTACAGACAGTGAATAAGTTGATTTCAGAGTAGGTGATTGCGGAGTTGAAATATAGACTTATGTTAACAGTATAAATATTCTCACTAGAAATACCACCAAAATTAAAAATAAAAAAATATTGAAATTAGAGTTAGTCATTATGTCAACTGAAAGGCTCATATAATATTTAACAAATAATAAAAACAAATACATTAATTATAATTTACAAATATAAAGGAACAAAACAAACTTGGTGCATAGAGTTTACCAATGACAAACATTTTTTCTTTAAAGTAAATATAATTACAGCACCCACAACAGTGCTTGTGCACCAATCTCATTATAAAACTGTTGTAGGTCAAATTGATTTGCTAATATTTTATCATTTCAAGAAAAATTATGTTATTCCAATCTTATTCAATGAACTAAAACTAATAGTACATTAAAGAACTTATATGCAATAAGTGTCAAACTAAAATCAATTTTTAACTTAAACTTAATAAAGTAATTAATATCAAAAACTGAATATTAATGATTGACAAACTTCAGAAGGTCCTGCTTTGTCAACCGGAAGAATTAGGCTAGCCTGTCTTTGGTCAAATTGGGTCCATATTAAACCAAAATACGTTTCTATGTGAAGTATGCCTAATTTTATGAAAAATTGTTAGCTGTCAACTTGAGATAAGGGACATTTTAGGTCGTAATGTTGAGGTTATTGGCTTGAAATTGGAAATACTTAAAAATATAAGCTCTAAACCTGAAGATGAAAGTAAACTTATATAAAATTAGGTATGATTTCACTATGCATTAAGTTTATCTTAAAATGAATCAGAAAGGAAAGACCCAGAGATACTGGTCATTAGATATGATCTTCAGCAAGCTATACAAGATCCAAAACTGATTTCTGAGTCACATTTTTATTATGTAATTATTAATTTAATAATTATATGGCTGCAAACTGTAAAGGACTTTTTATTTTGGATAAAAGAAACTAAAACAAATTTATGTCATGTCACTAAACCAGAAATGAAAAATATTTAGTTTTCAACAAGAACCCAAAACAGAATTAAAACCGGTTTCTGAACAAACCACAAAATGCTCACTGAGATAACTTAATAATTTTTAAGACTAGGATTGATATTTCGCATTTATAGATGAATTCCAGAAGAAAATTTAGCAGAGTGTTTGCTTCTGGCAGGCCAATAGATATGGTGTAATTTGAATAACAAAAACTTGATGTAAATAAACTGATTAAACAATATTTTAAACATAAATAATATCCAACAAAATGTGTCCAATTCCAAAGACAGTTAGTTTGGGACAGCGGTTGATTTAACATCACTTGTAATATTTTATTTAAATATCAATAGCCCAATAATTTTCTTCGTTACACAAAGAATAAATGAAGACTTAAAAAAAGCTGCAGCTAAATAGAGCTGACTGACCTACAAATATAGACGACTCACTTGAATGGAAAGACCACAATTCTCTGAAAATAAGTAATAAAAAAAAATCTGTTAAAATTTCTCCTATTATACATTTAAAAAAATTTAAATTAATAAAAAATTATTCAGCCATAATATTACCATTGTCATTCACATATAAAGTTTATACTACCACTGATAGTAATTCAGTACTGAAAACATAATGACATTACATAGGGAGAGTAACTACTAATTTTGCAAAATAGGAGAAATAATACAGAATCATAATTAACTAAATCAATAGGAGCAGTTTTCAAAAACTGTTAATATGATCATTGGGGAAAAATTACTATCTTTAGTTAAGCTAGTACACATATCTAATTTTCTTGAAAAGCTGAATTATAGTTATCTTGTTATAGTATTCATCCTGCATTATTGATAACTATTTCACAATTACATGTATAATTTGTCAAAATGTAAAATTAATTAACTACTTCAGTCAGTTCAAAGCTGTAGACATACTCAAAAAGTTTTCATAGAATAGAGATACAGTTTTATAAATATTTAGCGGTAAGGTTTCATAGAAGGCAAAATATTATGAGTAATATTTTTGTGCGTTAACTATTGATAAATAACTGCAAATAAATAAACTATTATACACATGTATAATTGACTTCATATATTCCATTTAATACAAATTCAAAAACTTAAGCTACCCATGATCAAAATAATATACATAGGGCAAGAGGTTGGAATAAAATAATATAATTTGTTGATATCTAGACAAATCACAAAGCAAATAATTAATCAAAGGGTAATCACAGTTAGGTATGGACTACTTAAATTTCAGATCAAAATCAAACCTTTCAATTATAAACATTTAACATTTTATAGAAATTTTAGAACTAAGTAACTTAACACTTATATTTATAGCAATGCATACCTGCATAAATAAGCCTTTGATTTTCTGCAGGGTAATCATTTCCTTTCTCTGTATGAATCTTTTCTTTCAATTCTTTTACCTAAAATATTGAAATCATGAACTATCATCTTGAAATTTTGAACACTAGTTGAAGATGAGTAGGCATTATTTTCATATGTTATGTCAACTGCAACTAACCAACTTTTAACAAATGTTTTAACATTTGGCAACTTTTAATGTTAGAACTGACAATTAGAATTGAAAACACAGTGGATAATTAACAGTTTAAGACATTTGTTTATCAAAAGGAATCTCCAGGAAAGGTTATCAATTTTATAATCACGTTTTACTCACAGTTTTTGATGGATCTATATCCACTTGAAAAGTTTGCTGTTGCAGATTTTTCAACGTAATAAGCATTTTTAATGATATTTACGTTAACACTTTTAAATAAGAACTTTACTTTCAATTAATGTAAAACGATGAAACAACGAATTTGTAGCTACTGCGGCGCCATCACTGCAGGCTTAGTGGAAACCACATAATCCAGTAACCACAGCTTCTTAAATAACTGATTTTCGGTTATAGCTATTTTTTTTTTTTAGTTTAATTAAATATCTTATCTCATAGCAATCAATAAATAAGAAATATAATTAATTTAAATACAATAATATTTAATGTAATGAGATTTGAAAGCATCTGTTACCAGGGTTAAACTAACCTGAACCTTTATTGAATAAATGGGTTGATCAAAGAAATATATAAATGTCTATAAAATATCTTTATTATAGAAATAAATTATTTTCGTTTAAATTTATTGCTACTATTACATTATAAAAAAGTTTCTATTTACATTAAAAAAATTTAGTAGTCATGGCAATTAAATTAAAAAGAAACAATAATAATTATTCTTAAAAATATTATCTTAAATAAAGTATTTTGAGCATAAGCATATAGTGTTTACCATTCTACTTCTCAAAGATTTTGAGCATATGGTTTATGAAGATTCCATAAAACATAACAAAAATAAAACTTAAAAGGAGTTTATTTAACATATTTCAATAATTACATTACAAGTTGTGTACAGACCCAACTAGTTTGGAACTTGCTATGAAGTGGTCTTACACAAAATAAAGTCTCTTCATCAAATGTATTTACAATCCTAGCAATTAAATTTCTATCATGCAATTCATAATGTACAAAAATATACAGAAAACCCTAATAAAGGTTACATTAATAGCAACCTTTTTTATTTGAAAGCTAAGTGGGGGGCAGGAGGATGCATTCTTAAATCAACATCTCCAAGCTGTGGAAAATGCTGAGGAGGTTGCCTTAGATCAGAATCTCTTTGTAGCAGTACAGATGATTTTCTTCTAGGGTCATTAGCTAAAAGACTTCTTTGCCTAGGATCTCTTGGTTCTAGAGTCGGCCTTAAGGGTACTGGTTGCATAAGAGCTGGCTGAAGTATCACCATGGCTCCAGGATTATTTCTCCTAAGTCGTGGATCATTCACATACTGTAACAGAAAATAAATGTGTTAAATATTAAAAATTAATTATCATACATATAAACTGTTGATGTTAACAAAACGAGTAGTAATTACACTGACCAACAAAAAAAGTAATTACACTGGCCAACAACAAAAAAAAAAAACAGTTTCTAGATGTTTCCTAACAAGTGTTAGGAAGCTTATAAGCTAATTCTTACTAATTTTGGGTCCAGAAAGATAAATCTGACAATGACAATTTTTTAATAGGTTGCTTTCAAAATACTGTTACGACATACATGATACTGTTCATCATTTTTGCAAGGAAAACTGATACATAATGTCTTGCACAAAATCATTATTATTATTGAAGAGAAGTGGTGATTGTAATCATTTGAAGTACACAAAATTTTTTTTTATTTATTTTTGAATTTCCAATTACCACAACCTCTAACCAACTTATCTTCAACAATATCTTCTGACAGTCAACAACTATCTATCATAATTATTATTATTGTCTGTATTTGTGTGTAATTCCACTTTACGGAATATTTGCTACAGCTGAATGAAGTAGTAACTTCATGAGAGCATTCCTTTAGACATGCCTCTTTTATGTCAACTCCAGGATATCTCTGTAGACTGTCTGCTAGCAATGATTTCTTTCAATGGTTTCTGGATTCAACAGAAGGACACTAAAATATTTTTGAATACTACTGGACAGCAAATATATAAATTGAACAAAAAATATTGACAAAATGCAAAACAAATACACTCAGATCATAAATTGTCCGTTTGTTGTTGTCAGGACAACTTGAGGTCTAAATCTGAATAATTAAAGATTTACATGGAAGAAAAATTAATCAAATTGTTTGAGGTGGTCTAATTGGACATAACTTAATAAACTGTAAAACTTAAGATTTTGAAGTACTTCACAATTGGATTCACCTAGCTTTTCTGGCTAAAGTATCAGATCATTTATTAACTACACAGATTTATAGATAGAAAGCTTGTGAGACAGAACAGAGTAAACATTAGATTTGCTAGGGTATTTGAATTTAAAAAAAAAAAAAAAAATATATATATATATATATATATATATATATATCCTGAAACTAAATCCCATCACACTAACATTCTGCAGATTGATATTTTACTGAAAAGCAGCAACTCTAAAAGATAAAATAAATAAAAATGGCTTTTCAAAACTCCTTCATTGGCCGCTCTGCCAACTCCGAATTCTCTCCTTTTAAAAATTCGTCATGCTCCTTCCTTATTCACCTTCAAAACTCTCCTATTCCAATACCTTTTTAAAAACAATCAGAAAATGGCCTTCCACCTATTAAGTTGTGTTATGTTTCAGTGCCTTTTATAAAAATGAATGCTTTCTTTATATATATTTATATTTTTTTCTTTCCTCTCGTGAACTTATGAACTTCTATATATACTTTCCATACCTAGTCGTTTCTGTTTTACAAGAATGTTATGCTCATGAACTAGCTTAATTTATTTGTTTTGTCATTTTTTTTATGTTTTAATTTGTACTAAGATATCTCAATTTTTATTTCTTTATATTTTACTCTACTTTATTTATTTTTATTTGGTGCTCATCAATTAGAGGAATTTATTTTTTATTTATGATTTAGCTAAGCAGTGATTATTTTGTTTCATTTCTTATATAGTTTTTTTTTTTTTTTTTTACTGTATATAGTTCTAGGTATTTTTTATATAGTTTCTACAGTTCGGTTTTGTATATTTTGTTAATTTCATAAGGTTTTTTTTTATTTATTTAATGTAACTTTTTTTATTTAATTTAGTTCTTCAGACCAGAAGTATTTCTTTTGTTCTGTAACCTTCTGTTATTCTTAGCGGTCCTCGTTCTAGGACAAAGTTTTCTATTTCTAACTCATTATTGTTCAGATAATGATAAAGATCTAAATAATCCAGGATACGAAAAACAAAGAAGCACAATTTAATCTGTAAAACAAATACAAACCCTATTTTACAAACCCATCATATCAACATGATGTCAAGTTTACCATGCTGATTAAGTGATAACAGTTAAAGAGCGATAACATTTTACATGGAGAAAGAAAAACTATTAAGCAAGAAATTGATCGAACTTTTGTCCCAATGCAACAAGCGAATCGTAATGTTTACTTAATTTTCCTTTTACTGGTTTATGACTTCATTTTAATTAAGAAGTATTCTATAAAATGGTAACTACACGTGTGCAATATACTTTTATAGGAGGTATATCTTTTATATGAAATAATACATAAGAAATATATAATAGAATTTATACCAACCTTTGAAGTAATATCTGAATAGTCAGGTGGTGCCACTATGAAAGGAATTAGTTTATAGGGAACAGGAGGATGTGAAGTAATAGAAGCATCTATTTCATTCGCCGGAGTGTGAACAGGAGCTGGCTTAAAAGGAAGCTGTCGTAGATCTACATCTCCTTGAGGAGCCATTCTGAGATCAACATCATCATCAGCCACATTTCCTCTTAAACGAGGGTCTCTCACTCTCCTGCACATGAAAAATAAAATATACAATACTATAAACCATAAAAACTATGTTGTGAAATTAATTATTAAAAACCAACTTATGAATCAAGTATTAATTAAGAAGGAAAGATGAGTTAAATAGCAACTAAATGGGAAAATAAATGTTTGAATTCCTAGCAGCAATGTATAAGAAAGAGAATTAGAGAAGCTTCAAGATCAAATAAGATGGTAATTAGAAAGCAAATAACACAAGGAGGATTGAGGAGAAACTATAAGCTAACTAATTAATTAAAACTGCTGGTCAATATACTTCAAAGAGATTAGACCCTTTTTAGTTCTGAACTATTACTGCTTTAAGCAAATAATTATATGATTCAGAAAAAATAATTAAATTGGTGAAAAGTTATTTACGCTTGAGTAATATCTGGTTGTTTTTGGGATATAATCACAAAATCACACGAATTGTTTAAGGATAGTAATGGATTTTCAGGTGATCTGGAAAACTTGGTTATTCCAAGAGAGATTCTGATCAAAGATTACTCCGAGGTTTTATGACTGTCGGAGAGAAAGGAAGGGAACTAATGAGGTGTCTGGTATCGATGAGGATAGCCTTAGTTTTATCTGTGTGCAGCTTCAGTTAATTTTTTTCTGTCTACCTGTGGATATAGTCAATATCTTTAATAGTTTTCGGATAGCTTCTGGCATCTCAGAAGGTTGGAACGATAGGTAAATTTGGGAAGCATCTGCATATAAGTGATAGCGGGAGTGATGAATGGAGTCAGGAAGGTCGCTAATATAAATAGAGAAAAGATGCGGAGGGAGTGAGGAGCCCTGAGGAACACCTGAGACCATTGAAGAGATGAGGAAGGAGATTTGTTAGAAATAATAACTGTCTGAGAGCGATGGAATATAAAGGAGAGGAACCATTTTAGAACACTATTTGATATGGGCAGACTTTGGATTTTGGAAAGGAGAATTTTATGATTGACGGAGTCAAATGCTTTGGAGAAGTTGAAAAGCATTAGGACGGAGATTTTCTGTTTATCTATGGCGGATTGGAGGTCTTGAGTAATCTTTAACAAGGGAGATTGGGTAGAGTAATGGAAACAAAAACCGGATAGGAAAGGATTGAGGAGACAGTTTTGCTTGAGAAAGTTATTCAACAAAGAATGAACTAATCTTTCTAGAGAATTAGATAAATTTGTTTGAAGTCAGAAGCTAATGAAGGAGCAGGAACTTTTTTCAAAGGCTGGACAATGACTTTTTTCCATGCTTTAGGAAAAATGGAATTTTGGAAGGAAAAATTGTAGATATGTAATAGCATAGGGAAGAAAACAGGATTTTGTGAGGAGGGTCAGAGATTTTGAGGGGAATCAATGATAAAAATGTCTAACCAGGTATCAGTGGATATGATGGGTGGATTGAAAGGGTACAATAAATAGGTTTAAGGAAAAAAGCAGGTCAATAAGGTATGTTCTGTCAGGAGAATCAGAGAGGAGGTTGTTGAGATCACCTTCAATTATGAGATTTTAAAGAGAGGATTCAAAAGTGACACGATAGAAGTGGTAAATAATGATGTACAGTAGAGAAAAGGTTCTAGAAGAAACTTGGAAAAATAGATATTCAGTGTATGGGATGTCGGAAATAGATCTTAAAAGGATTCTAGTCTTCAAACTATTGTGAAAGAACAGACAGACACCTCCTCCGATTCGGTCCATCCAATCACGGCGAAAGAGAGTATAGTCGGCTATATTGTAATATATATATATATATATATATATATATATATATATATATATATATATATATATATATATCATGGATGATAAATATTCAGGACGCAGTCATTATAAAGTTTTTATAAGTGTCGACGTCTCTTCACCAATATTCTCACAGACCGTGCTCTCCAAATAATTGAAGAAAATTGGTCCACCATAGAATCACATACTTCCCTCAATCAATCATTATTCCTTCAATCCCTCTCTCTATGTTGTAACTTCAGCTACCTATTATGTGTTCAAAACAAATTTTTTCATCAAACTTCCGGTCAGGCGATGGGTAATTGCCTTGCACTAGATCTCTCCAGTATTTTCCTTAAAAACCTAATTGATTCGACGTTAACCCAATTTCACAATGATATTTGTTTCATTAAAAAATATGTTGACAACCTCTTATTAATCCTCAACCCCCACGTTTTTCCAAACATACTTTCTGCATTCAACTCATACCACCCTCAACTCCTTTTTACTATTGAAATAGAATCAAATAATTCCCTCCCATTTCTTGAGCTTCTCATTTCCAGAAATAATGATAATACCTTATCCATCAATTGGCACATCTAATCTACCTACTCCGGCCATCTCCTAAACTATTTTTCACAACATCCTTAACACCAAAAAATCAGTTTAGCTAAAAACCTGATATACCGCAGTCTGACATTAGCTGACCCACAATTCCAAGAAAATAACCTAACTAAGCTACAAAAGATCCTGAAATCCAATGCCTTTCCTGATCAAATAATAAAAAACTAATTAAGAATCAATCCGAACCTCATCTTCACCACTCTCTCGTCACGACAGATCCATTCTATACATCCCGCTCCTATCTCAAAAAATCAAAAAAGCTTTAACTTCCAAATTACCCCATCTACAAATAGTTTTCGAAAATAACAGTAAATAAAAAATCTGTACCAAATTCAAATATCCTGTTCCACTCCTACAACAATCAAATATAGTATACCATATCACATGCTCTAACCCAAACTGCAAATCTTCTTATATAGGAGAAACCAAAAATTATCTAAAAAACCGAATATATCAACACAAATACTGTATCGCTACACGAAACTAGCCAAACACGCCATAACCCTTTACCATACATTTGATTTTGAATACCCAACCATACTTGCAATAGTTCCCAATCACCAAAAATGACTACTTTCAGAAACTACATTCAATTCATTAATTTTGAAAAAAATAATCTGGTAAACCACAAAATAGATAAAGAAAAGATCTGCAATACTTATTTAAATATCCCTCCCCCCCCCTCCTAAAACAATAGTTATAATTAAAATTTGTTTTTCATTTTTCCCATTTCTAATTTCTCCGCTTACTTACAGAAGTTAAGTACTCCTACATTTATTATATATATATATATATATATATATATATGTGTATATATATATATATATATATATATATATATATATATATATATATATATATATATAAAGTTTATTCTCAATATAAATATATACTATAAACAGGCACAAATATGTTTATACTTATACTAATGGAACTATGTAATCCTTAATATAATAGATTTTTTAAGATTAATATTGTTATTCTTAAAATATAGTATAATATATTGTCCTACTTATAATTTCAATCCATTACAATTGTCTGTAATATAAACATTGTTTGACTAATTACTGTATACCTTCAATCAAACTATGTTGTTTATATTGATTGGCACCTCTTCCTTATGATCATTACAAGCCAATAGTCACAATTTTGTAACTATAAGAAACAACGCAAATTTTGTATATGTCTTGAATAATTTAGTCAGCAAATAATTCGAATTCTACAAATAAAATTGTTACCCACCTTCCCTCTCTATGTTTACCTACCCTTTGCTATTTGAAAAAGCACATCTGGGGAATCCTACCCCAACCCTTTTACATACCTACCAAAAGTGTCAGTACTTAAATACCTTTAGTGCTAGAAACACGGTTAGTAAGAGAAAATATTACATTTTATAAATTGATTATATACATTATTTTTAGTGTATAACTTTTTACTTAATTCATTTGTCTATTTCATGTATCATCAATCACTGTTTTTTATTATTACCTACTATCTATCGTATATTATTATATCTTTAATTGTATTAAAAACTTTCAGCCCTGATGATGACCATGTATGGGTTGAAACATCGGCACTAACGAAAACATTATAATGACATATTTATCACCCATCATATGTAGAACCGTCGACTAACTTTCTTCAATATATATATATATATATATATATATATATATATATATATATAATATATATATATATATATATATATATATATATATATATATATATATAACTTATACACGGCTATATATATAATATATGAGGCTATATTCAATCCTATAACGACATGTGTCTCGGAAACCTCAGTCATCAATGCAAGACACCGGAAGAGACTGTTAACAGCATAGATGAACTTTTGAAGAAGGACAGCTAGAAAATCCAGAAGGGAAATAATTCTGGAGCTGAAGGAGGTGAAAAAGAACATTCTAGCAGATATTGAAGAAAATTTAAGGTGGATTGCAAACGTTAAAAAGATGTCGTCTACAGAAAGCTTTCCAAAAATAAGTATGGAACTGGAAGTAAAAAAAAGAAGAAAACAATAAAGACAAAGATAAGATGGAAAGACGAGGTGGAAGAAAGCCTGGAGGAGCATGGAATCAGAGAAGAATAAGCCATGGATCGAGAACTATAGAAAAATATTCTAATGAAATTTAGGTCAAGGATAACCTCAATAGTGTAAAACTCCTTTATAAAAAAAATAAATGTCAAAGAAAATTTAATATTATATTTGTTCATTCTATGGTATTTCGTATAATATTTTTGATGTAATAAGACTATTTATTAATTTAAAGAACAAATTATAAAATTTGCCAAATAGTTCCCTTAAAGAGCATTTAGCAAGTAAAATTAAAATTTGAAACACTTAAAATCCATAATAAATAACAAGACCCTCATGATATAAAATTTCCATTTAAAATTTTATAAAAATCTTTATATATTATTCCTAAAACATGTATTTTTTTGTAAATACACTGTATCTTCCTTATGCAGGGTGCCCATAAGTAGAGTGAAATTTGTATAGGAGTAATAGTAGACCTTAAGATCTACAAAAAAGTTCATATAAGCAAAAGTAGGCAATCCAAGTTTAGTGTTTTTTTAGGTAGTCATGCTTTTTGAAGAATAGGAAGCAATAACTGAATAAATATTTAATTTAAAT